CCTCTATTTACTTTCATACCCATTTTGACTCTTTATCCCCAAAATGATTTTTAGCTTCAGGGACAAAGCTCTTTTGAAGGGGAGTAGAGTGTGACACCCCGTAATTTCCTAAAATAATTATTGTCGCGATATTTAAATATTTTACTAAAAATATATATAAACCTAATTATTTTCAAAACGGGATTTGGTCTATTTATTATATGAATTATTATTTCACTACCCAAATGCCTTAAAGCCCAAAATGATTTTATTGTCTAAGCCTACTTAGTACTGTGAGCCCATATGCTTATGTGTTATTCTCGAACCCAAAAGAAATACCCAACCCAATCTCCTAAAATAGAACAACCCTAGCCCAATATAGTAATATAGGCAAATTATGCTGTGCATTCGTGTACACCATGCATGGTGCATACGGATGCAAAAACGACGTCGTTTTATTAAAAACGCGTGTCCCACTAAAAAAAAAAAAAAGAAATTCAGTTTCGATTTCCAGCAACAGCATTATGTTGTGTATAATTTGAACTATATATCCAGAATCAATGAACTAAAAATCCATAATCAATGAACTAAAAATCCATAATCAATGAACTAAAAATTGAGAATCTAGGAACTAAAAATACAGGACGAATGAACTAAAAATACATGACGAATGAACTAAAAATACATGACGAATGAACTAAAAATACAGGACGAATGAACTAAAAATCCATAATAAATGAACTAAATATCCATAATGAATGAACTAAATATCCAGCATGAATGAAAAAAAAAAATCAGTTTCGATTTACATCTAAATATCTAGAATCAATGAACTAAAAATCCAGAATCAATAAACTAAAAATCCAGAATCAACGAACGAACTAAAAATTCATAATCAATGAACTAAAAATTCAGAATCTATGAATTAAAAATTTCAGAATGAATGAACAACATAATGCTGTTGAGGGGTATCGAAAATGATTTTTTTTAAAGTATTACGCGCGTTTTTAATCAAAACGACGTCGTTTTTGCATCCGTGTGCACCATGCATGGTGCACACGGATGCACAACATACCGATGTCCCCACTATACATATTAAACATTGCTTCTTCTTCCGTAAACCATCCGCAACCAAACACCCCTCTCGGCTCTGGCAGCCATGGCAAAGCAAAATCCAGCCGTGAACCACCATTCCCTTTCCACTCTTTTCCCGTTCTTTCCCCTCTCTCACTTCGGTTGGCAGAGCAGCAAGCACTCCACAGCTCACACCGTCGTGTTCCTTTTTTCGGCGAGCCTCGAAGCAGCAAGCAGCAACCCTTCTCGCGACCTTGGACCTCCGTGCGTTCTCTGTTTCCGGCGGTGGACAGTAGTGGGCTCCGGTGTGACCTCTGGCGTGGGCAGAGCATCAGCGGCGACTATGCTGGACAGCTCCGGCAGCTAAGGGTTTCCCCCCTCGCTCGTAGTCGTCCCGACGGAGCTCGCCGGTAGCAGCCATGGCAGACTCAGCGATCGTGCAGCTCCGACGAATCAGAGCCACGGTCTCTCTCTCCATTTCCGGCGAGGTAGCAGCTCCAACAGCTTGAGAAACAGCTTGGTGGCAATCAGCTTCTCCTTCGGTGGTAGTGGCTGTGCAAGAATGGTGTTCGGCAATCTCTGTTGATGGCAACAGCAGCTTGGTGGTGGTTTACGTAGGTAAGGTTCTGTTCGTTGTTGCTACTTAACAAAGTTGTTGTTTAAGGGTGATTAGAGTTATTGTGATTAAGAAATATCAAGTGAAGTGTTAGCTTAGTGGTAATTAAGGTGTGTGTTTAGTCTTATAAGTGGCTAAGGTTTAAATCCCACACTAGCTTATGCTAGTATTTAATTAATAGTTTTATCTTATGATCATGAGTGTTAGCTTAATTAAGAGTTTAATTACTTTATAGATTGACAAAAAGGTGATTAGCTTAGTTGGTAAGGAATTTTATTAATTTTAGGATACGTTAGGGTTCAAATCCCCTTATGGTTTATTATAGTTTTAATTAGTACTTTTGTTATTGAGCAAATGATGGTTTGATTCGCAGGATCCTTTTTTGATAGTTTGGCTTGTGAGTTGAGGCTAAGTTGGCTTTGCTTTTGGATTGCTAAGCTAAGGAGGTAACTCATATCCTACAAAATCTATTTTATACTTGCTATGATGATTTCTTGACATTCTTGATGCTATTAAGTGATTATGTGCGTACTCTTGTGATTATGCATTGATAGAGCTTGTATGTAGGGTCCTTTGATACTATTCTTTGAGCTATTCTATGTGTTCAAGTTCCTTTGTTGAATGATGTGAGTTTTGAGGTGTCTTGGACTTGAACTTGAGCATTTTGACAATTTTCCCGAAGTGGTTTTTCTCTCTCAGGTTCGATACTCGCGGGCAGGCTGGCGGGCAGTGTGCCACCCACCAGCCCACCCGCTAGTACAAGGGTGAAGGTGGCGGGGGGGGGGGGGGGGGGGTCCACGGGTGGGTGACCACCCGTGGCACCACCCGCTGGTACAGTGGCGGGTGGTCTGCTACCCACCGTACCGCCCATTGGTACGTTGTATTTTGGCCTCCGTTTTGTTGACCCGTTGTGCACTTGTGTGTCTTGATTGATGTTTCGTAAGTCTAGAACGATGTCTTAAGTACCCGTGATATGACTTGTGAGTCTTGAATCGTAATTATGATCCAACTTTGTGATTCGTTGGATTGATGTGAAGTCTATGATGTTCCTATGAGCTTTATGATTATCTTGATCGAATTGCATGCTAGCTATGTTGCTCGTTGGTACTAGTATGTGCTTTCCTTGAAATGTTCATGTCTATTGTTGATGAGGATTGGTAACTTGTATCTACCAATCATTGTGGTCTCTTGAGTTGAAGTCTTTCGTTATTGTAGATTACGTTGAAATTTCTCCTTCATGTTTCTTCTTGAATTCCCTTGATGGAACCAATCATTGTAGACTTATACAAATGTTGTACCTTGTCATGATTATTCCTTGATTCGGGCTAATGATGGGCATCAATTGTCTATGTCGATGACTATGTGTTTATGATTAAAAGCTGGCGGATATGAGCTTTGCTCAAATGAAAGGCGTTATGATATATATCATGTTTAATGAAAAGCTGGCGGATAAAGCAGGCGGGGAGCATAGTCTCCGGAGGAATAAGGTTGGACTGGTTGTACATGTTGGAACATGGCATAAGGTTGGAACTTGGTCTTTAATTATGATTTCTTGATTGATGCTTAATTACCTTACCGTTGATTATCGTTGAATCTGTTGTTGGGTAATAAGGTGGAAAAACTCGAAAATAATAATCCTACGGAAAGATTATCATTATATGGGAAAACAGAAAAAGTTGGGAAGGAAAAGGCGGAATATTTGGGTAGAGGTTAACACGAGTTTGAACAAATTGTTCTTTTCCTTAAAACCTTATTTGCTACCTCCCACAAGTGCTAGGAGCGTTGTAGCCTAGGTTTCCCAAGATAAAACGTGCTACGATTCTTTGTTTGAGCACCCAAACAAAGAACCCGGCGAACAAAGCCAAGTATGAACACTGTTGGCTAAAGAAAGAGAGTAGAAGCAGAGTTTTGGGGCTGAAAAACGTAGTGGAATTCCTTTGTTTCTTGTACTATGTAAAAGCTTCTGCCCTACCTCTCTTTATATAGGGTTGTTGGAGTGATAACATTCAACATGTCAATTAAATTGGTGTTAAAACCAATTGTGTAACACCTGTAACAGCCCCCCCCCCCCCCCCCCCCCCCCTTCCCCTCCACACTAACAAAAAAATTAAATTCAGAATTAAAACAATATTGAACTTGCAGACACAAGATTAGGCTTGAACCAAGTCTTTCCGATATCATTTTGGGATTTGATTTGCACCCCCTCCTCCCCCCTACGCCCGAGAGAGAGCTTCTATGCTATACAATTCAATAAATTTAAAAAGAGCTCTTGTATAAATAGTGAGACAAATCCTCTTCCGAAACCAATGTGGGACAAAAGTTCACTTTTTTTCCCTTCATTTTTCCAACTCAATGGGTCTACTTTGAGAATCAATATCTCATTCACCCATTATCCGTTTTGAGCGTACAATATATCAATCTCTTCGTCTTACTACGAAGAATCTGAATCCACTTTGACTCGACCCAAATCGGAAGTGGACCCCACTAATAATTGTACCACAAAATAGCCACTTAATATGCCATTTTAAGCTATTTTTTTCAACAATCCCCCACATGAATGAAAAATTGATTTTCATGGTATTTTGAAATCGGAAACAACTGTGTTCAACGGTCGATCCCTACATAGGATAGGTAGGGTCACACCCTTTGAACCTTCCCTCGTGACAATAGATTTACTCTACTGGTTGTACGGTAGAACGCTATGTCTTTGAACCGACTGCCGTTTGTGTAGACGATGACATATCTCACATAGGAACCTCCAAACCATGCTTTGTTCTCATGACTGTGCCCATTTTGGTCGTGGGTCACCATTCCTGGTTTGTGAAGAATTATGCCCATCAATTCTCCTTTGAAGCGACCCTCACTTCTCTCTCACATAGGTGATTCTTTTCCGAGTATCCCACATACTCACACATGTCAACCGACATTCGAATCACTAAAGCATTAACATGCTAACCTTGTGCGAGAGCCACTGTTTCTAACGAGGAGTGGAAGGGAATCCGAGACTCCCACAGTGGCACGCTCCATTCCATAATTTAGTTGTCCCATTGAACCTAGGTGCTAGCTAGGTTGGGTATCCACTATAGAACTTTATACCGAGGGCTTTAGACCCATTCCTCGTCTCTGTGAGATATATTAGGTTACTGTTACTTGTATTCCTAGTCTACAGGGTTAAGTTATGTGAGTTTAGTTATATTAGTATATTGTACCTATCGTGTTACTGTTTGAAATTCTAATCCCAACATTCATCTGGTATCAGATAGCCTAAGGTTTCCGATCCTCTCATCCAATAACAATCCATCGACCCTCTCTCTCTTCTCCTCAACCGAAGATGTTCGTCAACTCCTCCGAACATACACCATCTGCCACCGCCGGCGTTCCTCCCACCACCCACCCAAATCCTTTAACCTCTGCCCATCATTTCGTTTCCCTCAAACTCACGGCGCACAACTACTTGTTCTGGCGGACGCAGTTGATCCATTTTCTCCGAGGCCAAGGGCTTCTTGGATATGTGGATGGAACCCATCCATGTCTTCCGGCGATGGTTGAGACCTCTACCACCTCCGGCGAAGGCACTTCCGCAGGCACACCGATCGCCGCAGCAAACCCTGAGTTCGCTGCCTGGGTCCAACAGGACCAAGCGATACTCTCGCTGCTCATATCGTCTCTCCTCGACAAGGTCATGTACCTCGCCGTCGTCCGCACCACCGCCCGCGCCGTCTGGGAATCCATTGGCACGGCCCTGGGATCATCGATGAGAGCATGCTGTCTCAATCTTCTTGGCCAATTCCAGGACCTCCGCCAGGGAGATAGCACGCCGGCAGAATACTTAGGCCGAGCACAACTGCTTGTCGAGGACCTTGCCCTCGCCAGCCATTCGGTGTCACTTGATGAGCAGAACTTGTATGTTTTCAAGGGTCTGCGTCTGGAGTTCAGGGCTATGGTCGCGTCACTCGCAGTTTCAGGTAACCCAGTGACAATCCCGCAACTCTCTGACTACTTGCAAGCCCAGGTCTTTATCTTCGCGGATGACTATCCCGCAAGTGGGGAGATCTCCGGTGGGGCTCCAACGGCAATGGTGGCTGATCGTAACCGCCGGCAGAATGGTGACGGGTTCGCTGGACAGCGTCGCGGTGGCAATGGCCGAGGCCGTGGACGTGGTAGCGGCAATGGTCGTGGACGTGGACAAGGCGGTGGTGGACCTCGCTGCCAAATATGCAGGTCCCATGGCCATACGGCCGTATATTGTTTCAGGCGTTACACCGGACAACCACCGGTTCAGGCCAATATGGCAGTCGCCGGTGACGTTGGAAATCCAGCAGCAGCAACGGATGTTTGGTTCCCAGATACCGGGGTATCCTCCCATGTGACGCCGGACTCCACAGTTCTAACGCAGTCGAAGGAGTACACCAGCAATGAACAGCTCCGCATCGGCAACGGTTCAGGTTTGGTTATTTCGCATATTGGTTGTGCATCAATTCCGTGTAATTCAAAATCTTTGAGTCTGTCAAATATCTTATATGTCCCGGATTTGTCAGTTTCATTATTGTCTGTTCCGAAGCTTACTCGTGAAAATAATGTATTTGTTGAATTTCATGCCAATTGTTTTTTTGTGAAGGATTGTCACACCAAGAAGGTACTCCTTACGGGGCCTAGTTCGGGGGGTCTTTACAAATTGTCCGTTCCCTGTCATAACTTTGCGTTCATAACCTCACTGGCATCACCTTTAACGTGGCATCGCCGCTTTGGGCATCCACATTCTCGTGCACTTCAACATGCGTTGCGTCACTGTTTTGTCTTACGAAATAAATCAGGTCTGCCAGGGTTGTCACGGCGTGTCAAATGGGAAAAGCTTCAAGATTTCCTTTAGATAGGGTTTCATATTCAAGTAATAATGTTCTAGATATTGTGTATACGGACATTTGGGGCCCGTCCCCCGTTTTTTCTGCAGACGGTTTTAAATACTTTGTTTTATTCGTGGATGATTATTCACGATATTGCTGGTTTTATCCCTTACGGTTAAAATCAGATCTTTATAATGTGTTTAATTCGTTTCGTGTTATGGTAGAACGCCTATTTTCGTGTTCTATCAAGTCCATACAGTCGGACCTAGGGGGTGAATACCGCCGACTTCATAAAACTTTTGAGTCACTTGGTATTGTGCATAGGCAATCTTGTGCCTACACACACGAGCAAAATGGGCGAGTCGAGCGCCGAAATAGACATATTATCAAAACCGGTTTATCACTCTTAGCTAAAAGCTCAACACCTCTTACACACTGGGATTATGCTTTTGAGACAGCCACCTTCCTCATAAATCCTATGTCGTCATCTGTGCTACAATTTAAAAGTCCATATGAACGCCTCTATAAAACACCACCCTCATATAGTTACCTATGTGTCTTTGGGTGTAAATGTTTTCCATATCATAGGCCTTATAATCAGCATAAGATAGAGTTCCGGTCAGCAAAATGTGTATTCTTAGGTTACCCAGCGTATTTTAGGGGTTACCGATGCATGTAACTTAATACCGGAAAAACCTTTATCTGTCGTCATGTCCGATTTGACGAGACGGTGTTTCCTTTTGCTACAGATGCTTTGAAACAGGTTCCAGCAGCCGAGGCAACACCCGCGTGGGGTTCTGCGCCAATGGTCCCACTAGCGCCTCAAACCGTGGTCCCGCTTGCGTCTTTACCTCCAGAACCAGTGGTTGCTCCCTTGGCTCTACAAGGTGCACCCAAAAGACAGAGGCCGCGAGCTCAACCTCAGGACCGGGGCCATGTCATGCGGCTTCGGCGTATGACTCGAGGTACGAGTGAGCAGTTTCACGCCTTAACTTTGGCTGACTCCCCTACTGACCCAACCTACTACACACAAGCAGTTGTCCACTCTCAGTGGCGTGATGCCATGGACCAAGTGTTCAATGCCCTGCTACACAACGACACTTGGCGCCTTGTGTCCCGGGAATCGGGCATGAACGTCATTGGGTGCAAATGGGTCTACAGGACCAAACACAAAGCTGATGGGACCATAGAACGGCATAAAGCAAGGCCGGTTGCTAAGGGTTTCAACCAAGTCGCTGGCGAAGATTTTTTTGATACTTTTAGCCCCGTAGTCAAGCCAACTACGGTGCGTCTGTTGTTTTCTTTTGCAGTGTCGCACCACTGGACCCTACGCCAACTCGATGTACACAATGCCTTCCTAAATGGGCACTTGGCCGAGACTGTGTACATGAGGCAACCACCGGGTATGAAGATCCGGATCACCCAGATCATGTTTGCCACCTGCAACGCTCCTTGTATGGTCTTAAGCAAGCCCCTCGAGCGTGGTTCAAGCGACTACATGACTATCTTCACTGTGCCGGGTTCGTAGCGTCAAAAACAGATGTTTCTTTGTTCCATTACTCGGCAGGTGGTTCTCGGGTGTTCCTGCTAGTCTACGTGGATGATATAATCATGCTTGGCGATGACTCAGCACTTATCAACACTTTTCTGCACCGGCTTTCCACTACCTTCAAAATTCGGGATCTCGGCACCCCGGGTTTCTTTCTTGGCATCGAGACCCTGCCTGTGGATGGTGGGATGATTCTGTCTCAACGTCATTATATGGGTGACATTCTTGCCCATGCGGGTATGACTGATTGTAAACCGCTCGCTACTCCGGCTTCGCTCACACAGCCTGTGTCCTCAACGGCTGATCCGTTTGATAATCCGACTCAGTATCGTCGCCTCGCGGGCGCCCTTCAATATTTAACTATTACCAGGCCGGATCTTTCTTATGCTGTCAACTGTTTGTGCCAATTCATGCATGCCCCAACACAGGAACATTACGGTTTTCTCAAGCGGGTTCTCCGGTATGTCAAAGGCACCTTGGCGTACGGTTTACGGCTCTCCTCTTCACCCTCGACAGATATTCACGCCTATTCGAACTCTGACTGGGCCGGGTGTCTGGTGGATCGCAAGTCCACCAGTGGGTATGTGGTCTTTATTGGCACCAATCTGGTGTGCTGGGTTTCTCGCAAGCAGCGCACTGTGGCTCGTTCGTCGACTGAGGCCGAGTACAAGGGCCTCACTGATGTTGCTGCTGAGGTTACTTGGGTTATCTCACTGCTTCGTGAACTCGGGTTTCACTCTGGTCATCCCGCGACACTATGGTGCGACAATCTTGGTGCCACCTACTTATGTGCTAATCCGGTGTTCCATGCTAGGACCAAACATGTGGAGATTGACTACCACTTCGTACGAGACAAGGTAGCATCGGGCGACTTCCAGGTTAACTTTATCTCCACAAGAGACCAGGTAGCGGATATTTTCACCAAACCCTTACTGGCTCTACGCTTCAACGAACTTCGTGACAAACTCAATGTTGTTCCTGTACAACCTTGTACTTGAGGGGGTGTGTGAGATATATTAGGTTACTGTTACTTGTATTCCTAGTTTACAGGGTTAAGTTACGTGAGTTTAGTTATATTAGTATATTGTACCTATCTTGTTACTGTTTGAAATTCTAATAACAACATTCATCGTCTCAACTTCTCCATAGCTACTCTACACAACCCTTTGGTTAGCGGATCCGCTATATTGTCTTTTGACCTTACGTAGTCAATCGAGACAACACCAGTTGTGAGAAGTTGTCTAATGGTATTATGTCTACGACACACATGTCTAGACTTACCATTATAATATGACTCTGTACTCTCCCAATTGCGGCTTGACTATCACAATGCACACATATTGGAGGTACAGGTCTTTCCCAATTAGGAATATCCGCTAGAAAATGGCGAGCCATTCAGCCTCTTCACAACATTTGTCCAATGCTATTAGCTCAGACTCCATCGTGGATCTAGCTATCACGGTTTGTTTAGAGGATTTCCATGCAACGACTGCACCAGCTAGTGTAAACACGTAGCCACTCGTGGACTTCGAGTCCTTAATATCAGATATCCAGCTAGCGTCGCTATACCGTTCAAGTACAGCAGGATATCTCCCATAGTGCAGTCCAAGGTCCTGAGTATACCTCAAGTATCTCATAACCTTCACTATTGCCGTCCAGTGCATGGCACCGGGGTTACTCATATATCTACTGAGTTTACTAATCGCAAAGGCAATATCCGGCCTAGTACAGCTCATAAGATACATCAAACTACCAATAACCCGAGCATATTCTACTTGAGAAATGCACTCCTTGTGGTTCTTGGTTAGATGAATACTACGATCTAATGGCGTCCTAGTCTTTCGATCATCATCCTTGTTAAACTTTTCAAGGATTTCATCAATATAATGTGATTGGCTCAGCATAAGACCATCAGGTCTTCTAGTGATTCTAATCCCGAGGATTAAATCAGCCAAACCCATATCCTTCATGTCAAATCTTGCATTTAACATGTTTTTGGTAGAATTGATCATCCGATCATTACTACCTACGATGAGCATATCATCTACGTATAAACAAAGAATGACATAGCCGTCTATCGTTTCATTAACGTAGACACATTTGTCACTTTCGTTTATTTTAAACCCATTAGTCAACATCGCATGGTCAAACTTCTTGTGCCACTGCTTAGGTGCTTGTTTTAAACCATATAGCAATTTAACCAACTTACACACTTTCCTTTCTTGGCCCGGAACCACGAACCCTTTGGGGTGTTCCATATAGATTTCCTCATCTAATTCGCCATTTAGGAAAGCGGTTTTAACGTCGATTTGATGAACTTCCAAATTCCGCAACGCGGCTATGACAAGTATCATTCTAATAGAGTTTATTCTCTCCACGGGAGAATACGTGTCGAAGTAATCAAAGCCCTCGCGTTGCCTGTAACCCTTAATTACAAGCCTAGCCTTATACTTCTCGATGGAACCATCGGGTTTCATCTACCTTTTAAAGGCCCACTTGGATCCTAAGGGTTTACTACCCGGAGGAAGATTAACAAGTTCCCAAGTGTGATTCTGTAGAATAAAATCCACTTAACTCTTTATAGCCTCTTTCTACATTGGCCCTTTTGTAGAAGTCGCAGCTTCTACATACGTTCGAGGCTCATTCTCTATCAAACAAGATAGAAAATTGGGTCCGTTTTCTAATATACAAGTTAGAGTACCCGAATCATACTCCAACAAGTAAGTTAGAAAATCAGGACCAAATGATTTTTCAACTCTCGCCCGCTTACTGCGTCTCGGCTCGAGCTCGGGTTCTCTCTCGAATTCCCCACTATCATTATCCATAGCTTCGTCAAACATTCGTTTTGACGTACTCGGTCCCTCGTTGGACCTACAAGGAAATACATTTTCAAAGAAAGATGCATTCCTTGATTCTATTATCGTGTTCTTATGTACGTCCGGATTAAGGGATTCGTGTACTAAGAACTGATAAGCACTACTGTTATTTGCATAGCCTATAAAGATACAGTCCATCGTCTTAAGACCTATCTTTACTTTCTTAGGTGTTGGCACCAAAACTTTGGCAAGACACCCCCACACTTTCAGGTACTGGTAGGAAGGTTTCCTACCGTTCCACAGCTCATAAAGAGTCTTATCGAGCTTCTTGTGAGGTACCTTATTTAAAAGGTAATTACTTGTCAAAATCGACTCCCCCCACATGCCTTGAGGTAGGCCCGAACTTATAAGCATCGCATTCATCATTTCTTTCAATGTACGATTCCGGCAACACCGTTCGATTGAGGTGCGTCAGGTGTCGTACGCTCGTGTATGATACCTACAGTAGCACAAAAGTCACCAATAGGTGCTTCGTACTCACCACCTCTATCGCTTCTAACCTTCTTAATTTTTCGATTAAGTTGGTTTTCAATTTTTTCCAAGGCTTCGTCTTTGCTTTTAAGCAAATACACATAGCAATAATGTGTGCTATCGTTGATAA